CTGCTGTGGCCTGGGAAAGCAGTAGAAGATGGCCCAAGTCCTTTGGTTCCTGAACCCTTGTGGGAGACCTGGAAGAAGCTCCTGGCTCCTGGCTTCGAATTGGCGCAGCTCTGGCCATTGTGGCCATCTGGGGAGTGAACCAGTGGATGAAAGACCTCTCTCTCTCTCTCTCTCTCTCTCTCTCTCTCTCTGCCTCTGTCTCTTTGTAACTCTGCCTTTCAAATAAATAAATAAATCTTATAGAAAAAATTACAAGTCAGCTTAGTTTATTATTATTATTTCATTTATTTGAAAGGTGGAGACACAGAGAGAGGGATGATCAGAGACAGACAGAAAATGCCCACCACAGCTAGAGCTGGGCCAGGCTGAAGCCAGCAGCCAGGAACTCCATCCAGCTCTCCCACACGGGTGGCAAGGACCCAAGCACTTGAGCCATCACCTGCTGCCTCCCAGGCGCATTAGCAAGGAGCTGGAGTCATCTCTCCCAAGTGCTGAGAGCTGGGGAGAGGTTGGCCCTGTGCCCAGCGACCACCCCCACAGCCCCACTGAGGGCTTGTCCGTCAGTGTGTCTGAACCCGGGACCTTAGACTTCACTGGGTTTTTCAGCTGAGGAAGAAGGAGAAACGCAAGCTAACGGTCACTCCTTCCCCGTGAACGGAGGGCTCTCAGTGCCGGGTCCCTCAGCGAGGCTCTGGGGAAGCAGCACGCACGGTAGCTTTGGGGGAAGGGCGAAGAGAGACAGGTAAACAAGTCGTGTGCTGCTATGTGACGGGTGCGAGGTGAGAGGAAGTGACCGAGAGCGCCCTAAACCCCAGCATCCTTTGCGCCGAGTGTCTCCAAAGCTTAAACCACACTGGAGATTTATGCTCTGGGTGAAGCTGACATGCAAATGTTTGATAATAAACAAGCATATGGCGATGGGCTTCCGTTCCCTCCCCTCCGCTTCCCCTGGATCTGTAATCCTTCTACCTCCATCAGAAAGAATTTAAAACAAACAAGGTTTATCCCGAGAGCTCTGCACACACAAACCCTGACAGTGGGTAGACCCCACAGAAGTGCAGCTCCTACCCACCGAGGACCGCCATAGCAAAAGCAATATCCATGGTAACTGATCAGAAAATGGGAGATCTGTGACGAATCTCTGATGAAACAGATAATCGCACAAGACAATACCGACTGATGAATCTCACCATGGGATCTTGGGAGCCAAAGAATCCTGCCTTAGAGAGCCCCGGGGGTCCCGTCTCAACGTAGCCTCATCCCTGTCAGGGTTCTAAGGGGACTGCCTTTTGGTCTGCAAGTAGCATGGATGTGAGATCCAAGCAGTGTGTGTGTGTGTGTGTGTGTATGTGTGTCTGTGTGTGTCTGTGTGTGTGTCTGCGTGTCTATGTGTATGTGTGTGTGTCTGTCTGTCTCTGTGTGTGTCTGTGTGTTTCTGTGTGTCTATGTGTGTGTCTGTGTCTGTGTGTGTCTGTGTCTGTGTGTGTCTGTGTGTCTGTGTGTGTCTGTGTGTGTCTGTGTGTCTATGTGTGTGTCTGTGTGTATCTGTGTGTGTCTGTGTGTGTCTGTGTGTCTATGTGTGTATCTGTGTGTCTGTGTGTCTGTGTGTGTCTGTCTATGTGTGTATCTGTGTGTGTGTCTGTGTGTCTGTGTGTATCTGTGTGTCTGTGTGTGTGTCTGTGTCTGTGTGTCTGTGTGTGTCTGTGTGTCTATGTGTGTGTGTCTGTGTGTGTCTGTGTCTATGTGTGTGTGTCTGTGTGTGTCTGTATGTATCTGTGTGTCTATGTGTGTTTCTGTATGTCTATGTGTGTGTCTTTGTGTGTCTGTGTGTGTGTCTATGTGTGTCTGTGTGTGTCTATGTGTATGTCTGTGTGTATCTGTGTGTGTGTCTGTGTGTCTATGTGTGTTTCTGTGTGTGTGTCAGTGTCTGTATGTCTGTGTCTGTGTCTGTGTGTGCCTGTGTGTGTGTGTCTCTGTGTGTGTCTGTGTGTCTATGTGTGTATCTGTGTGTGTGTCTCTGTGTGTGTGTGTGTGTATCTGTGTGTGTGTATCTGTGTGTGTCTGTGTGTATCTGTGTGTGTGTCTGTGTGTGCCTGTGTGTGTGTGTGTGTGTGTGTGTAGAGGGGGCAGGGGGCGCAGCAGGCAGCAAAGCTCGCACACTTCCGTGGGGAAGATTTAGCCACACTTCCAGAGTCCCTTGTCCTCTGTGCATCCACCATGGACTCACAGATGGATACATGTGTCCTGAAGGCCAGTTTAAGAAACCAGCAAGCAGGGGCACAGGGATCCCTCTGGACAGGCCTCTGGAACCAAGACCAAGGAAATCAGTCCCCAACTTTGAAGGGTGACTTTAGTCTAATTCTCAGAGTTGGACGAGATACAGGTACGTCCACACACAAGACTCAGGCCAAGGCCAGGGAAGTGCTGGCTCAGCAGTCAGTCCCTGACCCAGGGCCATTTCTGCTCTTGGGTCCACTGTGGCCCGAGGGCAGCCTGTAACCCTGGGCGTGGAGTCAGAGAGGCCCTCTCTCCCTCCCGCACCCTTTTTTTTGTTTAAGATTTATTTGAAAGCCAGAGTTACAGAGAGGCAGAGAGAGAGAAATATCTTCCTTCCACCCGCTGGTTCACCTCCCAAATGGCTGCAATGGTCAGGGCTGGGCCAGGCTGAAGCCAGGAGCCAGGTGCTTCTTCTGGGTCTCCCATGTGGGTGCAGGGACCTGGGCACTTGGGCCATCCTCCACTGCCTTCCCGGGCCATTATCAGGGAGCTGGATCGGAAGTAGAGCAACCGGGACTCGAACCGGCACCCATATGGGGTGCCGGCGCCGCTTTACCAGTCCACCACAGTGCCGAGCCCCAACACTGCCTTTTCTAAGTCGTCTCTCTCTTTGAAAACTGTGCACAATGGAGAACAAACAGCACTGCGTAAGTCACAAAGCCTGGAATTTAATTTTTATTTCACAACAGAGAAAAGCAAGCCTGTGAAGACGACCCTAAGGTCAGCGGCAGGGAGCGAGAATTCATTCCTCCATGAAGTCATTGTGCAACGAACGCCTGGCCAGATGTGACCTGGCCAGTGTCCACATCTGCCTCCGAGAGGGCAAAGCCTCGCCCTCCCATCCTTAGAAAACAGATTAATACCGCGGCAGGCAGGGATTCCATTAACAGGGTAACAGTTGCCTGTCTGATGAATTGGAATGGGCAGCAGTGTATGGAAGTTACATTTCGGAGTCAATGAGTTTTCATAATTGAGTTTCTCCCCAGCAATGAGTACAGTTCTAGGAAATCTAGATAAAAGTGTGACGGGCTTTGTTTGCTTAAGTGTTTCCTGAGCAAGGACCATTAGCTTCGCGAGACTTCTCTGGACATCTTGTTGTCATTACATCCCGGATAGAGCCTCAACGGTCTCCATTCTCACGGCCACCCACGGAGCCCTGTGGAAGCAATCTAGGGAGAAACAAATCGCACAGGAAGAAGCCAGCAGCTGGGCTTGACGGGAGTGAGGGCGCCGCGCGTGCCTTTCCCGCTGCGAGGCCCCAGCGAGTGTCCTGCCCCACGTGCCCCATTCCCACATCTCCCACCCAGGGTTCAGGAGGGGTGGGCTCACGCTGGGCATTGGGCTGCACCTGCCCGGGGAAGGGAAGCCCCAGGCACAGGCCAATCCGGAAGAGGAGCAGCCTGGGAGTGAACAGGCTGTACTGACCGACCAAGGGCTCCAACGTGGGAGGGAGAAGAAGGTGGGAACATGGACGGGCGAGGACAGGCAGGGTCTCGCAGGTCTAGCTAGAGAGGTGGCCCCTGTCCTGTGTCCCTGGGCTCTGTGGTGTTCATGGTGTCCATTGGCTAGGGCTGCCATTAGGGGCAGCTCACACAACAGAAATGTGTTTTCTCACAGCCCTGAAGGCTGGACGTCCCAGGTTAAGGGGTCACCTGGGCTGGGTTCTTGCCCGGGCCTACAGAGGACATGTGTGTCTTGGTGTGTCTGTCTTCTGTGTGGACAGCCGCTGACTTGCCGTGGTTTGATTTTTGAGTTTCTGGCTCTTCCATGGTGCGGAAGTGACACACACTCAGCAGACACTGTGCCTGCGGGGCCGGCACTGTGGTGTGGAGGGTAAAACCACGCCTGCATCGCCGGCATCCCATGTGGGTGCCGGTTCAAGTGCCAGCTGCTCCCCTTCTGATCCAGCTCTCTGTTATGGCCTCATAAAGTAATGGAGGGGCCAGTGCCGCGGCTCACTAGGCTAATCCTCTGCCTTGCGGCACCAGCACACCGGGTTCTAGTCCCGGTCGGGGCGCCGGATTCTGTCCCGGTTGCCCCTCTTTCAGGCCAGCTCTCTGCTGTGGCCAGGGAGTGCAGTGGAGGATGGCCCAAGTGCTTGGGCCCTGTACCCCATGGGAGACCAGGAGAAGCACCTGGCTCCTGCCATCGGATCAGCACAGTGCGCCGGCCACGGCGGCCATTGGAGGGTGAACCAACGGCAAAAGGAAGACCTTTCTCTCTGTCTCTCTCTCACTGTCCACTCTGCCTGTCAAAAAAAAAGGATTCAGCATACGAATTTCGGGAACCGTAACACTGAGACTTGTATTGTAAATGTGACATACATGATAATACATTGCTATTATATGTATTTATGTTCAATAATTGTTACATACGCTTATTTTTTTTTTGACAGGCAGAGTGGACAGTGAGAGAGAGAGAGAGACAGAGAGAAAGGTCTTCCTTTGCTGTTGGTTCACCCTCCAATGGCCGCCGTGGCCGGCGCGCTGCAACCGGTGGCATCGCACTGATCCGATGGCAGGAGCCAGGTACTTATCCTGGTCTCCCATGGGGTGCAGGGCCCAAGAACTTGGGCCATCCTCCACTGCACTCCCTGGCCACAGCAGAGAGCTGGCCTGGAAGAGGGGCAACCAGGACAGAATCCAGCGCCCCGACCAGGGCTAGAATCCGGGGTGCCAGCGCCACAGGCGGAGGATTAGCCTAGTGAGCCGCGGCGCCGGTGCCAGCCTACATACATTTCTTTTTAAAATATCATCTGGCAATCACACAAAGTAAATCCAGTCGGTTGCAAGCCAAGTATTGGAGGGGTGGGAGCAGGGTCAGGTGTGGAGACACGGATCTGTGACAGTCTGTGAAATGTCCCGCCTGGGGCAGGCATTCGGCACGGTGGTTAAGATACCACCTGGGTTGCCGACATCTCATATCAGAGTGCCCAGGTTCAAGTCCCACCTCCACTTCCACCTCTAGCTTCCTGCTAATGTGTGCCCTTGGGACAACAGCAACGGCCCAAGTGCTTGGGCCCCTGCCACCCATGTCGGAGACCTGGATGGAGGTCCAGGCCCTAGCTGCCCCTGTTGCGGGCATTTGTGGAGTGAACCAGTGGACGGAGGTCTTTCTCTGTCTCTTTGCCTTTCCAATAAAATGAAAATGAATTTTTGAAAAAACTGCACACTTGCAGCAAGCCAAGTGTAGTACCAGGCAGTTGTAATTCATCGCTGGCTGGGACGGCATGATCTGTGAGGAGGAGAGAGACACTGGTGTGCAGGGCATGAGTGTGGAAGGGGGCGTGCGGGGGGTTTGGACATGTAGGGTGCAGGTAGGAGAACTGGGGAACTGGGGGCGCACTAACAAAGCGACGGAGGCTGCACCGCGAGATCTGACGTGGTCGCCGGAGCTGTGGCTTGCCCACGTCTGCAGAGGGTCCGGACAGGCCCGCATAGCTGGGGTCTTCTAGCCAGACTCGTTAGCTGTTCTGGACTCTGCCTCGTGTCTGAATTGATCCTGAAGCTCAGACCCAGATCAGCAGGAAGCGCTCTCCCTTCACTGAGCGACTTGGTTTTTGCGTCTTGATGGAATGCGCGAGGCCACTCTAGCTGCCTCCCGAGCCCTCCCAGGCACTCACGAACACCAGCCCCCAGCCGCGGACGGAGGAGGGTGTCCCCATCCAAGCATGTCACGGGAACCCGACAGCCACCACTGTGTGAGTGGCTGGGTGTGCTTCAAGGCGACGGATGTTTTTTTTTTATTTTTAGATGAGCTCAAATAACAATCTAGAAAAGCCAGACTCCAGAGAACAATGAGAAAATATAGAGAAGCCAAATATAAAAATACTGGCACATGCAAAAAAAAATAAAATAAAAAAATCAATTCACTTTCACAGATTATGACTGGAAATTCCCAGAGGAGCGAGTAGATTTTGGAAGAGAAAAAGAGATTATATTTTATGGAGAGAGGTACAATAACCATTCTCTTCCCATAAAGCAAGTGATGGAAGACGGTCTCCACATAGACACACACTGCACATTTCGGGATAATACGAACAGGAAATCAATAGGATCTTTTCTATGTGAAAAGACATTATCTCTTGGGCTCCCAGCACAGTTAATCGGGCTACAGAAGATCGTCCCAGGAACTGGCCACTCACCATCACTCTTAGTCCTGGGACAACTAAGTGGCCTTTAAATCCAGCCCTTTGTTGATTTAAAAATCATTCTTATTATTTATGTTTTGGAGATAATCACCGTCAAAGCACCACCCTCGGTTAGAACCGCGGGGTGTCCAGATGACACGGAGTGACAAGTGTCTGCGTGGCAGGCCAGATGCTCTCAGAAAGCGCCTCCCACCCTCGTCCGCCATGGTGGTGGCCACATTGTCAGCCACTCGGAGCCCATCAGGCCGCAGTCCGACAGCCAGGACAGGCTCGGCGGGAGTCGCGGGATCTCCCTGTGGCTGTCTTCATTGCTCTGAAATAGAACCCAAGTTAATATTAGAAAAACAAACAAACAAACAAACAAACACAACGCTTTGTGCTGGGGTCATCTTCCCAGGAAAGGCTGTGCCCTGGTGCTTTGACCCTGTGTATCACGTAAGTGTTCTTGGCCGGCTCCAGGCACGAGTCCCTTGATACCCACAGGACTAACCACCCCGCCCTCTCCTCCCATGCGAGGGTCTCACCACCATCCTGGTAAAACATCATTAAAATAATAATAATAATAATCTAATCAACCAGGGTAGAGACCCCATTGGCACAAAGCTGGGATTCAGCGTGGGCTCCACAGTGGATCTGTTTGCTCAGGCTGCTGTCCAAGGACCTAGTGAGTGGCTCAGGACCACAGGGATTCCTTCTCCTGGGGTTCTGGGGGCCAGAAACGCTGAGCCCAGGCCTCAGCGGGGCCATGCTCGTGCTACCTCTTCTTGCTTCTGGTGGTCACGTGTATCCCTGGGCCCCAGCAACACCACGCAAGTCCCTGGTCAGCCCCTTTCATGAGAATACTCATCCTGCTAGACCTGGGCCCATCCCAATGACCTGTTTTAGTTCAGTTAACTTGAAAGACCCCATCCTCAAATAGAGTCACATTCGGAGCTACCAGGGATTTAGACTTACGCGTATGAATTTTAGGGAAATGCAAGTCACCCCAAAGTAGCCCTCAAGACACTGTTCTCCCATCAAATGTAGACTGGGTGACTCCTAGCGTGATTAGAATCCATCAGTGCTTCTCAGCCCTGGCGCGGCTGACATGCTCTCCGTGTGTGTCTGCGTTCCGGGAGCTGTCTGTGCTTTGGATATGGTGCCTAGCAGGAGCCTGGCCTTTACCCATCGGACACCACAAGCCCCTCTCATTCCCCTTATGAAAACCAAAAATGTCTCCATTTATTGCCAAAAGTCCCTCAGTAACAGGAGCGGGGTGGGTGGGTGGGGCAGAGCCAGTCTGGTGCAGAAGCGCTGGGTTGGCTGAAAGGGAGACCGGCGTAGTCACGCATCATTCAAATGTTCCTGGAAGCAACGGACCCTGGGCCATTCCCTCAAAGTCTGGATTGATTCCTCTATTAATTTAACAAATATTTATTGAGTGCCAAGTGTATGTTAGGCAGTGATCAGGAACTGGAGGAAAAACAGAGAACCAAAAAGATTTACCAAAGAAAGATTTGTTTATTTGAAAGGCAGAGCAACAGGGAGAGAGACAGAGACAGAGAAAGGTGTTCTATTTGCTGGTTCACCACTCAGATGGGCAAAACAGCCAGATCTGGACCAGGCCAAAGCCAGAAGCCAAGAACCCCATCCTGGTCTCGCACATGGGTGGCAGGGGCCCAAGGACTTGGGCCATCAAGCACTGCTTCCCAAGGACATTAGCAGGGAGCTGGATCAAAAGTGGAGGAGCTGGGACTCGAACCAGTGCTCCAATATGGGCTGCTGATGTGTAGGCTTCAGGTTAACCTGCTGTACCACAATGCTGGCCCCAAAAGACAGACTTTAAAACTTCTGCCTTAAACATTGTACATTTCACTGGAGAGGACTTGAAATAAGCAAGGTAGTAGACTACAGAGACTATTAGATAGTGACACCCGTGAAGGAAGGGAAAAATCGAAGCAAGCAAGGGGGGTGGGAGCGTTGGGGGATGCCGGTGTGTTCTGTGGGGCGGCCGATTTTGTCTAGCAGATTCGTGGGGAGCAGCCTCACAGGCAGAGGAAGCAGCAAGGGCAGAGGGCCTGCAGCAGGTGCATCCCTGGAAGTCTGTAAACCAGAAAGGGGCCTGCACAGCTGGAGCTGCAGGCGGGACAGTCGGCGAGGTAAGGGCCGGAAGCAGACACACCACCCCCCTGGGGATATGTGCCAAGCTCCCACTGGATGCCTGAAACCTCTGATAGTACCAAACCCCATAAATACTATGTTCTGGGGCCGGCACTGTGGCAGAGCGGGTAAGGCTGCAGTGCTGGCATCCGTATGAGCACCGGTTACAGTCTCAGCTGCTCCACTTCCAATCCAGCTCTCTGCGATGGCCTGGGAAAACTGGAGGATGACCGAAGTCCTCGGGCCCTGAACTCGCATGGGAGATCCAGAAGAAGCTCCTGGCTCCTGACTCTGGATCGGCGCAGCTCCAGCTGTTGCAGCCAATTGGAGAATGAACCAGCAGATGGAAGACTCTCTCTCTCTCTCTTTCTCTCTCTCTCTCTCTCTCTCTCTCTCTGCCTCTCCTTATCTCTCTGTGTAACTCTGACTTTCAAATAAATAAATCTTTTTAAAAAATCTACTTTTTTTCCTATGTATCCATATCTATGATAAAATTTATGAGTTAGGCACAGTGAGAGATTAACAATAGCAATAAAATAGGGGTGAGGGTTATGGTGTAGCAAATTAAGCTGCCAACTGCCATGCCAGCATCCCACATGAGTGCCGGCTGCAGTCCCAGCTGCTCCACTTCTGATCCAGCTCCCTGCTCCCTGCTGATGGCCTGGGAAGGCAGTGGAGGATGGCCCCAAGTCCTTGGGCCCCTGCACCCATGTGGGAGACCCTGATGCAGTTCCTGCTTCCTGGCTTCAGCCTGGCCCAGCTGTTGTGAGCATTTGGAGAATGAACCAGCAGGTGGAACATTTCTCTCTCTCTCTCTCTCTCTCTCTCTCTCTAATTCTGCCTTTCAAATAAAATAAATCTTAAAAAAATAGAATAGTGATAACAATATATGGTTATGAAAGTGATAGGCATATGATTTCTATTTTTTTCTTCTCTCTCCAAAATATCTTATTGTGCTTTCGCATTGTCACTTACAGGAAGTGCTGTACAGCTTCTCTTTGGCATATCTGAGTCGCCAGCATCACCGTGCTTGCTTGGGGCCATTATCAAGAATAAGGGTCATCTGAACACAAGCAATGCAGCTCCAGGACAGCGGATCTGCTCACTGCAGTGGCTCCCAGGTGACCAATGGGCAGGTGTCACTCACACCGCGGATACGCTGCACGGGGTGGCTCACGTCCCAGGCAGGCCTGAGCAGGACGGAATGAGAGTGCCTCAACTCATGCAACTTAAAACTCGTGATCTGTTTCTCTCTGGGATATTCTACTTAATTATTTTGGGCTGCAGATGACCATGGGTAACAGAAGCTGTGGAAAGCAAACCCGCAGATAAGGGGGCTGCTGGATGGAGGATGTGCAGGGCATAGCAGAGCTGGCCGGCCCTCTGAGGGGTATGGGAAGCCATGCTATCAGAACTTAGCAGGATCGCCCTGAGAGGAGGTTGTAGACACACAAGGCCAGAGACTCAGGTGTGAGGCTACTTACTGTGTCCATTGACCCACAGACGAGCACGGAGCGGGTTGTGAGATGTGGGGAGACTGGATGGATGTGTTCCACGGGGACCCCGGGACACTGGCTGATGTGCCGTGATGTGGGCTCAGGGAGGAGTGGCCTTGGGCTTCAGCAAGTGGAAAAGCAGAGCAGCTGTTAACGCAAGGGGGTCAGCAAAAGGAGCCACAGCCTTTGTGGTTCTCACGTGTGCAGCTCTGTGGCCGTGGGGCGTTCCCACTGCGGTATACCATCACCACTGTCCACCCGCAGAACCGGGCATGGCTCCCAGGGCACCTCCGCCCCAAGGCCCACGGCCTAGGGGCAGGGCTACCCAGGGTCCCCCCATTGTCCCTGTTGTCATGGTGTAACTGGCAGTAGCTATCTTCACTCTGAAAACTGTTCCAGTTGGGGTGATAAGAAGATGACACATACACACCCCACTACGAAGTGACAGACAGGTGGTCTCTCGTGTAAAGCAGAGGGCAGAGGACTTTGGAGACTGAGGGTGCCTACCTGGGCTCCTCCACAGGTGCACATCTCAGTTGTTGAACCAGTTAGAGGATTGCTTAGGGTGTACTTCTGCCATCCACGGAAACCTTGGGGAGGCCTGCACGTGTCGGTAGCTATGCCCTTGGTGCCTGGAGGGAGCAGGTGTGAACGTGGGCCTCCAGGGCGAGCACAGAGCCCCAGGTCTCCTCTCCACTTCTTTCCCATGGTTCTGATGCACAAGACAGATGATGGGTCCAGACGGGCAAGGTCTTCGGCTGTGATGTCTCCTGCTAGAGTTTCCATCTCACCCACAGCCTGGCGTGTGGGGACCATCTGCTTATTACAACACATCCCACCTCACCTGTTGATGTTTACACCACATGTCAAGACCGAGAGACAGCCTGAGGAATGAGGGACAGTGAGATCTGGGGTGCGGCCAGGGTGCTCTATGCCTCATTAGCCAGGCAGGCTGGAATTTGGTGGAAAGTCAAGGAATTCCGCATAGACATTCCTGAGTCCTGAGTCAGAATGAGTGGGACTCCATAGCAGGCAAAAACAATAGCGCTCATTTCATTCTGAAGTTTCCATGTGCACTGGCACCATTCTATCCCAACCTTTTGTTTCCATGGAAACCATTCAGGATGCCACAGAAAGAGGCAGGGGTAGCAGCGGCAGGAACTAGCTTCCCGGTGAGCATCAGGTGGCAGGGAGGGCAGGGATACCAAGCGGCTGCACCCAGAGCCGTGGCTGGGTACAGTGACCCTCCCCAGACACCCAAGGGTGAATCTCGTGGCCAAGCAGAGCCCACTCACGCCAGGCTTCAGTCTGATGATCCGGCCAGCTGGGGGAGCCTTCCAAACACCACTTTACCTTTCTAGGTTTTTTTTTTTCTTCTTTTCTTAAGAAAAAATTGTGTTCATCGATCAAAAGGAAAAGGCTCTCCATTATAACTCAAGCGTGGAAAGGCGTGGGCTAGGGGAAGCAGAAGTCACCCACAGCTTGAGTTTCCTGAGGCCCCTATAATCAATGACCACTGACTTGGTGGTTTAAAACAACCGTCATTTATTGTCTCACAGGTCTAGTGGCCAGAAGTCCGAGCTCTGGTGTCAGCAGATCCATGGTCGCTTTGAAGCCTCCAGGGAGAATCCTGCCTGGCCTCTGCCAGCTGCTGGGGGCGCCAGATGGCCCAGGGCTGGTGGCTGCTTCACGCCGATCTCCGCCTGTTCTCGCATGGCTTCTCCCGTGTCTCGAATCTCCCTCTGCCTTTTTTCTTACAAGGACACTTGTCATTGGATTTAGGGTCTCCCCAAATCCAGTAGGTTCACGTGGTCAGGTCCACAGTCACATTCACGAAGCCCTTTTTCCAGATAAAGTCACATCCACAGGTTCTTGAGACTAGGACGTGGATGTATCTTTTGGGGGCCACGGCTCAACCCTTCACATCCACACAACAGGGGCCTTTGCCAGGCACCCACAGAAGCTCCCATTCTGGGTGCCCCACGGCGCCCTGAGAGCCTTGAGGCTTTGGTCAATTTCAGAGGAATGGCAGGGGCAGTTTCTGTCATTCGAAGACCTGGCCACGGCAGGGAATCTGGGGCGTTGCCATGGTGATCCAAACCTTGAAACTTTTGTCCTTTTGCATTGTTTGCAAGGAACTAGTTACTCAAACCTCCTATGAAATAGGAATCCAGGGGGCGGGCTCTTGAGATGTTTCCCGGTCTTCACTGAAGAGATGGCATCCGCAACACTCCTGGGGTTTTCCCCCAGAGACCGCTGTGCTAGGCTGAGTAGCACGGTAGCTTGCTGCTACCTTGGAACCACACAATCAGACGCGTGAGGAGCGAGGCAGGTGGAGTCAGGGTGGAAAGAAGGGCTCTACAACACAGCACCTGCCACGCTCTGATTCAGGCGGGAACACCACGCCGACGCTGCCAGAGCCCGGTGCCACGGCAGACGGCCGAGGGACAGGCTCTCCCAGCAGCTCGTCACGGCGAACGCAGCTCTGCCAGGCACCTATCTGGTTGCAAGGAGCTGGCAGAAGGACCGGGCAGCAGGGGAGAGCCCGTTCCTGCAGGAAACTTCAGAAACTTGGAGAGGCCCCGGCTTCCGGGAACTCTGCCTGGGGCTCCCTGCAGGCGAGCACATGAAAGAGGGGGTCCGGGTGGCTCGGCAGGGTCAGCCAGACCCCTCTCACCTTTTGGTTCAGGGTTCCTTCCTGCAGAATAAAGGCTGGGTGACTTTGTTCTTGTTAACACACACATCACCTTCCAGACTCAGCATCCTGCCTGGGACTCGCACGCATGGTCGGACTCTGCAGTCCTGGCACTGGGCCCCGAGAACCTTCCAGAGAGGGAAAGCCCCTCCTGCGTAGTGGGCTTCACGGCAGAAACAGCGCTGCTCCTGCAGTACCACGGGACCCATCACCCCGGAGAGCTCCTGTAACACCCGAATGCTCCCAGGTCTTGTCGTTCCATTAGCTCAGCCTCGGCTTGCCAACAACAGAGCAGGGCTAGGAGAGTCGATGCCACGTGTTAATTCTCGTGATCCCCACGGGACAAGGCCATGCGTTTTGAAAAGAGCAGGAGAACCCAATGCGTTCTATAAAAACCCCCTCACCTCCAGACAAGCAGGCGACGCAGGAGCCACTGGTCCCCAAGCCTGCCTTCACCTTCTCTGTTCTAAACCATCGGGCACAGGTTTCCTTGCCCACTCTTGTTCATTGGGACCGCAAGTCTGCCCTCTGCTGGTCGAGGGACATTTGGGCCTCATTACGGCTGGGAAGGGGCTGGAGGCTGTGGGCCCTTCAACAGCTTCTTTGCTATGGATGCGGTTATGTCCTTATCTCTTAATTCAGAGACTTTATCTGGGAGTCAGAGCTGTTGAGCAGGCAATAAACATTCGCTGCCTTTGTGGGTCACAGATAACATCTTTACGCACCACATATCCCCGGAATGCTAAAATAAAGCTGGCTGGCGCTATCACACATTCAGCGAGAAGTCCTCTCAGACATCATCATATACATTCTAAAAGAAAGAGGGCAACTAAATAAATAAACATAACAGCAACAGTGGAAAGGTCGGACCTGGGGCTGGTGTTTGCCCTGGCAGTTAAACCCCACCAAGCAGTAGCTGGGTTCACGCCGGGCTCCAGCGTCCGACCAGCTTCCTGCAGGTGCAGATTCTGGGAGCAGCAGGTGATGAACCTGGATTGAGTTCCCAGCCCCAGTTGTCTCGGGCATTTGGGGAGTGAACCAGAGATGGGAGCCTCCTCTCTGCCTCTCAAACACATTTTAAGAACTTTTTAAAGTCAAACTTGCCTCTCTAGTTACTAGCTCTGTGAGCTGGGATGAGGACTTCAGATGAAATGTTCATAATACATCCCAGAATTGTTGAAAAGATTCGATGAGACCATTAATCAAGTAGCACAATGCCTGGCGCAGCAAGAACGTTCTTTAAACAGTAGCTTAAATGGTTTTCTTTTTCAAAAGAGAAGCATTTATCTGACAGGCAGAGTGGGCTGGACCAGGCTGAAGCCAGGAGCCAGAAGTTCCCTCCAGGTCTCCCATGCAGGAAACCAAGTACTTGGGCCATCATCAGCTGCCTCCCAGGATATGCACTAGCAGGAAGCAGAAGAGGGACTGATCCCAAGAACTGCAAGATAGGGGGCCAGTGTCCCACGTGGTGGCTTGACAGGCTACACCACATCTGTCTCTTAAATATTTTCCTGTTTCAGTTCACTCTATTCTAGAAGCTAGAAAATTTTTGCTCAGAGTGGACACAGTAGGAAAACCCAGTGTGGGGGAAGAAAAGTGCCCCCACGAGGGCCCATGGTGTGTGGACAGCATCGTCAACTGCAGCCCAGGGGGTCTCAAGGTGGTGGTGGGAGTGGGGGGGGGGGGAGTTTTGCTCTCCCTGGATTTGGGCACTGTCTGGAGGTACTTTTTGAGGTCACAGCAGGGGCGTGGTACCACTGGAATCTGGCTGGAAGAGGCCAGAGATGCGGCTAAATGTCCTCTCATGCAGGCTGGCCCCCAACAGGGGCTCTATCTGCACAAAATGTTAATGGCTGGAAACCCCGCTCCAGCTTTGCTAAAAAAAGGTCGTTAGCTTTAACACTGAACAACCAAGGTCTCAGCCAGCGCTGTCTGCAGCTGCAGCTGTGCTGTGCTTCCCCGAAGCTGAAAACTCATTCAGAAATGCAAGCCACGCGCACGGCGAATCAGTCGGGGCGCTAATCAGTGGTGACTCTGCTGAGTTCCAGAACTTTCTATGCCCGACTGACCACCAGCATTTCTGTTCATGGTTTGGTTTTCTAGATGATAGTTAGGATAGAAACAAGATCTCTGGATTCAAAAACCACCCAAAGTCAAGAGGCCAAGCCTCCCAGTATATGTTTTTAAATTTCTAAATTGTGATAAAGGGGCTGGTGCTGTGGCATAGCAGGTAAAGCCACCACCTGCAGTGCCAGCATCCCACATGGGCACAGGTTCAAATCCCAGCTGCTCCACTTCCAGTGCAGCTCTCTGCTATGGCCTGGGAAAGCAGCAGAGGATGGCCCAAGTGCTTGGGCCCTGAACCCGCATGGGAGACCAGGAAGAAGCCCCTGGCTCCTGGCTTCAGATCGGCACAGCACCAGCCATGGCAGCCATTTGAGGGGTGAACCACCGGAAGGAAGACCTTTCTCTCTGTCTCTCTCTCTCACTATCTATAACTCTACCTGTCAAAATAAATAAATAAATAAATAGAAATATGCACAACATAAAATTCACCATCTTAACCATTTTTAAGTGTAAGTTCAGGACAGTTCTGTGTTCTATAGTTTCAGTTACCCTTGGCCAATCTCTATCCAAAAATGAAAAATTCTAGAACTAACCAATTCCTGAGTTTTAAATTGCATGCAGATCTGAATATAGTGAAAAAAAAACCTCCCTCAATCCTGCTTCTTCCTGCCCAGGGTGTGACTCACCCCTGTGTCCAGTGTGTCCACACCGTGTGCACTGCCCATGAGTCACATAAAGTCTGTTAGTCAGACAGCAGTCATCTGGGTTCAAACCAGGTTAATTGTAGCCTCACACTCCGTCCTAATGCCTGTGTCAGTCACTCTCACATCACCCTGAGAAGAAGGTGGAACAGGATAAACAGACAGCTCAGACGGAGCCCGCACAGTGGTACAGCAGGCTAAGCCGCCACTCACAACACACATCCATCCCAGCACACCGGTTCGAGTTCCAGCTGTTCCACTTTCAATCCAGCTCCCTACCAATGTGCCTGGAAAGCCAGTGGGCGATGGCCTCAGCACTTGGACCCCTGCACCCAGGTGGGAGACCCTGATGGAGTTCCAGTCTCCTTGCTTCAGCCCAACGCAGCCACAGTCATTGCAACCATTTGAGGAGTGAATCAATGGATGGAAGACCTCTCCCTCTCCTCTCTCCACTCTCCCTCTCTGTCACTCTGCCTTTCAAATAAATAAATAAATACCTTTTTTAAAAAAAGAAGACATTTCAGATCACATTTGCATAACTTTTATTATTATATATTGTTTATTATTATTATTATAACTTGCATGATCATTATACCGGGACTTGAACCAGCACTCCATATAGGATGCCGGCATCACAGGAGTGGCTAACGTGCTGCACCACACCCCCAGCCCCAGATTAAACC